CGGACCCCCGTAGGTATGTCTCTTCGCGCCATGCACACAGGGGGGCTCGCCCTGCGAACAGCCCGCGTTCCGGAAGATGGTTGCCCTCGGCCCTTCCGATGGGGCTCGCAAATGCCATTCATAATTCTGGAAGCCTCCACTGGCCGCCTTGCTGCAGTCCGAGACCTCGGGGCCCCGGTGTGCGAGAAATCTTCCACTCCATAACAGACCTCCAGGACTGCAGGCGTAAATTTCCGGATGTTGCTGCTGGAATTTTTCCAGGCCCGTTGGCTGCAAACCGGAGCCCCTCACCTCTGCTTAAGGGATCCACCTTCCTCTGCGAGACTTGGAGGTTGGGTTCAGACAACACACTTACCTATGGTTCACCTAATCACGGTTCACTTAATAAAATCGATTTGGGGAGGGGGGCATATAACACGCTGAGTCAACCAGAAATGAATTACACAGGGCACGGCAAACCAGTTGCTCATATACCACATTTCCTTCAGGTCTTGAATTACTGTAACACATTTCTCGGTTTGCCTGAGACACTGAACCATAAACCAACCCAGTGGGCTGATTTCACACCACAACCTAAGCCAGAAAGCTAACCCAGCTTAGTATGAGGTGTGAACCAAGCCGGAGAGTAACAAAGCAGTGAAGCTGGCAAATTAGCAACCATACCTTCTGTTAGAAGGTACAGATGCAGCTGCCAACATCTGGAAACAGCAGATACAATCACTGCGCTTGTGCAACATGCATCCCTTGGTTAACCACAGTTTACTCAGCCCAGTTGTCAGGGTTTTCACAAAACGTTGAGCTACAAGCTACATATTAGTGTAGAATGCAGTGGGCCAGAATGAGCATGAAGTGAGGGCAGCTGGGGCCTCTGCCTTCGAAGGCGGGTTTGCCTGCAACATCATCCCTTGAAACACAGAAGAGAATACACACACACACACACGCGGGTGTATGTAACTTCATAAATGTAAACAGCATGTGTGGGGGTCAGGCCCTGCAAAATGACAAAACCAGTCATCGTCAATAGCCAAATAGTTCTTTCATTTATTACATAGTTTAATACTTGAAAATTACACTTTATTAGTGTCACCAAAAGAGTTGCAAAAGTCCAAGGATTTGTCAGCACCCAAAGTCTTTGTAATTAGTATCATGCAGAGGCAACCTTCTTTTATGAAACAACTGGGTAAAATGGCATTTTGTTTCTGTAAGTAAAGAGACGAAATACTTTTTCTTTTTACTGGTAATATGATGTTTTTTTCAGGTTACCCCCGTCTCTAAGAGAATTGTTCCTATTCAGGCATCCACAGGGCAGGTCAAAACAGTCAAGATGGTGGCATGACTGCAGTCAAAGCCTCATCTTTTTTATGATGTGTTGTGCACATCAGATGCAGGTTAAAAAAAGGAGCAGGACTTCAATCTTGCGCTCCTGACTTTTTTGACCCCCACCAGATACTCCTCTTATAGTTGTGTTCAGTTCTCTAAGATGGGCATACATGAGATTTCAGGCATTTGTGGGGAAATGATGTAAAAAGGTTGTCTTTTCCCTCTGCTCATTTTTCAAAACATCATACAATGAAGCCATTTCAACCTCACAACATACATGCCCTCCTCTAATCTTAATCTCCCACCCAATTCAACTCTTCTTCTGCCTTCTTTCATCCCATCTTCTCCCTTCACTAAGCCGAATGTTTTAAGTTCAGATGTTGTGCTAAAACACGGGTTGCTTAATTTACTGAATAAGCCACAACTGGCTGGGTTTCCATATCATGACAGCCTTCCCCAACTGTGACACTCTCTTGACATGTGGACGTCACCTCCCAGAATTCTCAGCAGTGGTCATGCTGGCTGGGGAATTATGCGAGTTGAAGTCCACGGATCTGGAAAGCATCTGGGTTGGGGAAGCTGCAGTAAGTTATACACCATTGTTGACAAACCACACTTGGCTGGGTTCATACAATATACTAGGTCAGAACTCAAAAATTCATTAGGGCTCGGTATGTTGTATGAACCGGGCCAGAATATCTCAGCTGCTCTCAACCAATCTTACAAATGAGTTATAAAGTAGCCATTTGTCAAAGTTTTCTCTTTGAAGGACTTTTCCAGCCATAGTCCTCTCTAGATAAGAACCTGAGGAAGGACCAGCAAATGGGATTTCACAGATCCTCCTTACAGTTACTGCCTGCTCAACAGGTGGAGAAGAAATAATCTTCTGGTTCCTTTAAGAGGGGTTTGCCAAGCCTTCAGATGAGTGGGACTGCAACTCCCCTCATTGCTGCCCAGAGTGGCTGGGGCTAATGGGAATTTTAATCCTCTGCTCCTAAGACCTTCAAACTGGAGAAGGCCACTTTAGATCCTCTACACAGCTCACTTGCAATTAAATCATTTGTGTGTCTGGAAGCAAACATGTCTTTCGGGGGGTTCTTAACATTTCTTTTCTTTTAATGTACAAACTCTACAGTGCTTCCTATGCAAGGAAAACTCAGGTCTGTAGAAAACATTCCTTTATTTTGCATCACTTGGTCTCACCTCCAAACTCAATCAGCACTTAAGTTCCTGGGTTGGTTGGTTGGTTTGTTTGTTTTAATGAGAAATGAGCATTCACAAGAATAGCTCTGGGATGCTTTTGGGTTACAGCCATTATATGTGAGAGATGTGAATTATGGAGTCCTTGGGGGGTTCTCTGAGCTTGGCTGTTTTCTTGCAAAAGTTTTGTTACCCGGCTAGGTAACATCTTCAGTGCTAGAATGGGATGGGGTTTGCTCTCCATTTATATACTGTGGGGTTTGCTCTCTGTTTATATATAGTGGCCTGCCCTGCCAGTGTTGGTGGGGGTGGGGGGTTT